AAATAATTAAAAAATTACAATAAAAAGTCCAATAAACAACTAAATACAAATATAATAAAAAAACAAAATCTATCGATGCTTGCGACGCGAATGAGTTCTGTAAGACGGTGGATGTCGGTCTCGAGGAGGATTTCTTCGAATCACTGGTTGTGACTCCTCACTGTCATCATCATCATCGCCGTCGTCGTCTTGAGCAGCTACATTTTGTTGAGGAGGAGCTGATGACGATGAAGCACCTCCATAGAATAAAGACCCTGGGGGTGTATAACTGACTATCCTACCGGCCTGCGAAAACTGGGAAAACTCATAAATCCCATACATCGCCGAGTGTGAAAACTGTACAGGAGGTGTCTGTGTTGCGGCCATAGGTGATGAGGCTACACCCGCCAAATATCCAGCATATGAACACCAAGTATGATCTGTAAAAATAGACCCATAATAACCTCCAGGAGGGGTCATATAACTCTGTGATGGTAACAACGGCGGGGTCATAAAACCAAGTGACGGTGGCGGTGGCGGTATCAGGTAAGGGAATGACGGTGGCAGCATTATATATGGTTGTAGTATGTAAGTCGCTGGAGACGGTGGCTGTTGTGAAGGTCCTGCTGGTGCAGTTAAGGACGAACCGGAAGCACATGCTCTCCGCCCACGAGTCGGGGGACGATAGTATTGTGTCGGTGAACGTCTCTGTCGACGTCACTAAAATGTCCGCCCTCATACTTCCTCGGGAAGAAGAAACGGTTTCCCGTTACTGTTGAACCAGTCATAATAACCGTCAGCAACCATCAAGAGGTCATAAAAAATGGGCTATCTACGGGGAAGACGCCGATGTCGATCCTCCCACAACACGACTAACTCATGATGCCTCACCAGCCAATCTGTATATGTCTTGCCGTGTTGATCTATGCTATGCAACTCGTCCATATTGCGAGGTGCTTCCAAAATTGGTTGAAAACAACCAAATTGTCGGAGCATGCGATCAGTGGAGTGCCACTCGACAATCGCATAACAGATCAAAGGGACCATTGCCATCCAAACATCTGATAGGCCCCTCAACTCAGGTGGGATCACCATCCTCACATCATCATTAGAATATGACACCCATTCAAACTAAAACAAATATATATAATATTTATCAAAATAATAATCTAATTATATAACTATAATCTAAAATCAATTTTTAAAATTTGAAATGCATACAAGTGTGTCAGCCTTCTGATCGATTAACACCCTAATTTTTTCTAAATCATCAGGTAGCTCCTGATGATTTTTCCTATCAGTAAACCACCTATTCAAGAAAAAAAATTATTATACTCTGTATAAAATGATTAATATACGAAATCAATTTTATAATTACCTCAATAGTAGTGGAAAAACGAATGAGTCTTGACAACGGGACATAAAAAGGGCAATCGATACCATGCCCAAGACTGCAGCAGCAGGAGACATCCACCGATACCATTTTTTCTGTAGTCAGTCGCTCGATACATCTCCCTATACAGGAAAGCCAAAACTACCGAGCCCCAACTGAATAATCCGGACAGATGAAAGTCACCAAGATGTTGCAACCACATACAGTGAATTTGGTTGTGCGATTTGTATGGCATCAGCAACCCTCCTATCAGTTGCAGTATGCATGCCCGTGCATACATTTTAACTTCATCATCAGAGGCGTCTGCGTTCAACTCCCGAAAATTGGCATTTAACCAATTTAACGGTATCCGACCACCGTTTAAAATTTTTCGGGACACGTCCTAGACTAACCCGACACAAAGTAGTCAAAGAACCGGAAGATATCCCTGATATCACACCTCCATCCACCGGAAGCCCCAGGTGCATAGAAACATCCTCAAGTGTAATCGTGCACTCTCCGCACGGAAGATGGAATGTGTGGGTCTCCGGCCTCCACCGCTCCACTAAGGCAGCAATAAGGTATGGTTATATCTTATAGTGACCATCGTATCTACTTATGTGACCGAATCCAACCTCTACTAAATACGACATGACATGACCAGGTATCACTAACTTAAGGTTCCTAATAAAAAGATCTAATATATGGTATCTCTCCTAAAATATAAATAATTAAAAAAATTAATTTTTAAACTAATAATCATGCATTAAATAAATAAATAAATTATTACTAATAAATTAAATTAAATTAAAACGTTAAAATGTTACCGTATCAGCAAAATATCGAGATATATGATTTCCATCCAAGCGAATCAGATCGCCTTCCATTTTATATCTGTAAAAAAAATTATTAAATAAAATATTAAATAATTTAAATAAATTAAATATTAAATATTAAATATAATAAAATATATCTTAAACAGATAATATAAAAGTATTTGAGAGAGGTTGAGATAAGTTGAGAAGATTTGGTATGATGAAAGTGATTGAGGATTAGGGTATTCATAGGGAGGGATGGGGGTGTGAACGGACGGGGCAGGTACGTAATTAAACCTAAGGCGCGCCGTAGGGGGTGCGCCTTTCTGACACGTGTCAGATTTGCAGGTAAGACGCACCCCCTACACGTCACTTTACACACGTGTATCTCAGTCAGCATAAGACGCGCTTCAGGGGGTGCGCCTTACCCCACGTGACGCCATTGCATTGATGAAATGGAATTTGTTTCTATATAGTTGCTACATTATCTTTAAATCTGAATTTTACAAATTGTTTCATATTGGATGTAGTATTTCGTACGCGAGCATCTAAAATATCATGAATACCGCACTAATTAATCTATCTTAATGATTAAATGGATGATTGTTATTTTTAAAGATTTCAAGTTTGAATACCAACAATCACAATGTATTTAAACATTCATTATCAAATCACTGAGAATCTCTAAAGTAAATAGGTTTAAATATAAAATAATTGCTTAAATTATACTATTTTTCATAAATATATGTTTGAAGTATTTTTGACTCATCCCGGATCCTAATGTTACAAAAGTTACCATCATGATGCATAACGTTACAAACATGATCACTTTACATGTCCGGACCGTCAATGGTGTTAATTTCCTCCGTTAAGTGACACATGTCATCCTCTGATTATTTTAAAATTATTTTTTTAAAATGTTATATTTTATATTAAAAAACCCTATTTTCTAAAATTAAAAAAAAAATTAAAATTCTCAAATTCTAACCGTAACCCTAATTCCACCATCGTTTCCTACCACAACCACCACCTCTGACACCTCCCTCGCCATCTCCTTAGTCGTATAACGCCATCCTTGTTGTGGAGTCGTCGTGGTCTTCGCAATGGTTGTCGTTTGTTGCGTTCATCAGGGATGATTTAGGGGTTGATTTTGTCACGATTTCGTCGCTTTTTTGGAGATTGTTCGTTGGGGAATAGGTCTTCGATGGAGGCGCGGCCAGGTGGAAGTCTATTCAACGACAATGACAACCGCGAGCATGGTTATATGGACTAGATTTAGGGTTTTTAAAGTTTAGAGGAAGTTTATAATACTTTTGTACATTTTGGGCTTTTTTTAAAATATATTTTTAAGTTTTTTTAGTAAAAAATTCAAAATTACCGTATTGTGACACCTACCACTTAACAGAAGAAATTAATACCGTCCGAGCACCTAAAATGGTAACATTTGAAACGTTAGGCATCGAAATGAGTCAAAAAAAATACTTTAAGCATAAATTCTTGAAAAATGGTATAATTTGTACACATATTTTATATTTAAGCCCAAAAAAACGATACTACCACTTGTAAGTTGTACTTACCTAAATTAATAAAAAAATCATCGAAACCCTTTTACGTAATTTATTTTATCTATATTCATATCCATTTACGATATGTATCCAGAAATAATGAAATAATGAATTTTATCACTTTATTAATTATTTATTAGAAATTTTAATTCATTGATAGGTAGGATGGGTATGAGACCCGAATTCGACGGGTTTCGACCCAACTCAATCCAATCGGATCGGTTTTTTATATATAAAAAATCATGTTCTAGTGGGTCGGGTCGGGTGTTTTTAAAGATAATGTTTGGGTCGGGTCAGATTCATATTTAGGGTGAAAAATATCCAACCCAAAAAAATATAATTTTATCTTATATATTTAAAGATAATTACAATAATATCCCTTTATATATATTATTTTTTAATTAAATATATATTTTTATTGAATAAAAATAATATTTTTAATTATTTCGGATCAAATCGGTCGGGTTCATATTAACATCAAAAGCCGGGTCAGGATCGAAGTCGAATGAAAGATGTATATTTTTCAAGTAGATTCAGACCGAGTGGAGGGAGTAAAATTTTAGAATCAAGTTAGATTAACCAAAACCAACCCAAACCCATCCGGTGCCCATCCCTACGTGATACGAAGGCTGTTTCCAAGAAAGTTGGTGGGGGATTTGGTTACGGAACCTTTATGTGTGACAGTGGCGTAGGATCATAGGTTGAAAGGTAAGGTAGTAAATAGACACGGAAATATTATAGGGAAAGAGGAGCCTTTGTCAAAAAACCAGTAAATGCGGTGAAGTTTCGTCTTGTTTTGGATTATTCCAAAATAACTAAATGAGTAGTTGGTCACTTTAGAGACAACACGAGTTTGAAAAACACGAAGCTGGTTTTTTCATAAAAAATTACATAAATGATTTAATATATATAATTAATTATTTGAAGTAATTGATAATATAATATAATAAAATGAGCGAACTAAATTTAAAATATAAAATTATATCATATATTCAAGTATAACCAAATTTCAGTTCAATATAATGACAAAAACCATACTTTGATAAAAGAGATTATGTTATATCTCAGCAGTGTCACAACAAGATGAAGGATTTGGAAATTTGAGAGTAGGGTTGTCATGTGATGGGCAAGAAATTTCTTTAAAATGGGATCAAAGCTGTGACAATGACGGGGTTTACAGTGACCTAAGGAATACCTTACTAACTTACCCAAAAAAAAGAGCAGAACTGGGAGAAGACTAGGAAGCCTATCATGGATAAAGGCCATTAACAAGTCATAAGAGTTGGACCCTAGAAGCGTCATCTTCTTCGCTTGTTATTTCAGCTCAACGCTCTCTGCCCAACTTTTCTGTCAAGGGCAAAGTCCAAAAAGATCTCTTCTTCTTCTTTTCAGTTTGATTCTTTCAGCATTTATAAAGTCCTCAAAGTGGACTTTATCTCCTTCGAATTATATTCCAACTTGTATCTTCATTTTCCTTAATCCTAAAACCCACCTTCCCAAGTCGCATTCGATTGCCTCTCTTGATTTATGAATTTAAAGCCCCATTTTGTGATCTGTGGTTTCCTTAATTTCCTTCCATTTCTCTATATTTGTTTGATTGCTTTCTTTCCTTGCTAAATCCTATCTGGGTTTCCTTCTATTGCTCCAGAAACAAAATCCCATATCAGTCTGCAATTTTGGACGCGTCGTTGAACAGAAGCGGATTGAGTGTTATTCTTTCTATTTTTTTTATCAAGGTTTTACCTGAACTCTCGTTTGGGTATCCCTCATTTTCCCCAGGAAACAGAATCTCACTTCGAGTCTGCAATTCTTTACTGCTTCCTTTTATAGTTGGATCTTACTTTTTTTGCTCTGTAAAAGTACAAAAATCAAATCTTTTTTTTTGTTGCTGAATTTCACTCAAATTCTCATCTTAGTTACTCTCATTTGCCAAAAAATAAAAAAATAAAAAGCAGTCCTATTTTTTTTTTGCGAGTCATGGACAAACCCGGGATTGATGAATCAACAGTCATGGCAATAACTGGGAAGATCATGGCCATCGCCGTAATAATTCTCTTCTTAGTGGTGGTCTTCGTGCTTTTCCTTCATCTTTATGCTAAATGGTTCTGGTGGCGCGTCGAAGAACCAACTCCCCCGTCTTCTTCACGCCGCCGTCGTCGTTTCGTGTTTGCTCCGGGACAAGAGACTGCTCATCCTCTGTGTGCAACGAAAGGCCTTGATTCCGCAATCCTTGCTTCCCTTCCCGTACTAATGTTCACCCAAGAAGAGTTCAAGGAAGGACTCGAATGTGCCGTTTGCTTGTGTGAGGTTGTGGAAGGAGAGAAAGCGAGGCTGCTTCCAAAATGCAACCATGGCTTCCATGTTGAATGCATCGACATGTGGTTTAAATCACACTCCACTTGTCCTCTTTGTAGAAATTCTGTTGTTGCTATCGAGGGTGAGAATTCAAGTTCTGCCATGTCAGGGGATGATGGTCATATTCAGTCTCCAAATGATGGTTTGGGTTCTGGGTATTCGACAGATTCTCCTAGTTTCCCTACAAATGTGTTGTTTTGGGGTGATCATCAAGGCCAGGTTAGCAGCGGTGGTGCCAACTTGGAAGAGGGTTCATCTGCATCTGCATCTGCTTCGTCCTCAGCTTCGTCTTCAATGGCATCCGGTAGTGGCAGGCAAGAAGGCATGCTGGTGATTGATGTTCCAATAAGTGTGAACGAGAATTTCCCAGAGGAGGAATCAAAGTCACCAATGCCAACAAGATTGAGGTCTTTGAAGAGGCTTTTAAGCAGGGAAAAAAAGATGGTACCTAGTAGTTCAGGAACCAGTGGTTCCGTTGATGTTTAAAGTTATAAATTAAACAAGCTGAGTATCAGAAATGGCTGGAGATTATCAAATTGGAATCAAGTCAACCATTCCTAGAGAATTGTGTTGGTCTCTTGGGAACCACTTGTATTGTGCATTTTGAGGCTTTGAAACTATGGTACAAGATGTTTATGGAGAGGGCAGGGGGCTTCTCTGCGTATGAATGTCAAAAGTAATTTTCTTCCGTAAAAATATAGATCAAAAACAATTTCTTCTTTCGGTGAAGTCTTCGTTTTAGTTTGGATTTTTCTACTGTAAAGCTATTAATTCAATTCCTCGGCATTTTTTGTTGCTTATTGTGCCTTAAGATTATGCTATTAGCCTGTTAGTCTGTTTATTATAGACCTTTAAGATTTACAATTGTGGAGAGATAGAATTGAATCCCATTTATATAATGCTTTGTTGGTCGTCACTGGTTTGAACCAAATTAAAAACACGTACAAATTCTTTAGGCATTGATGGATCTGAAGTCTAAACCAATGGCAGTCTCCGCAGTTGTAGTGTATGGAAAAGAAAGGAGTGCGCGCTATGATTTTACATGATTAGTTGCTTGTAAGTCTTTAGATATCAAGTTTGGGTAAAGAGCTGTGCAGTTGGATTAGGTCATAGACAAGACAAAGGGTTTCATGGGATAAGGTTTGGAAAGCAGAGTAGCAACTCAGTGAAGTTAAAGGCTGCTTTCAATTACCGCAACTCAAAGCTCCACTATTATTATTCGTGCAACAATCATATAATGCTTTGGGTTAAAAACCCTTTTTCAGAGAACTGTTTATATATATATTGAGTATTACCTTTTTTAGTTTTTGTACATCAGAACTATAGTATATTGCTGAAAATCCTTTTCAATTCCTTGTTTGAACTCTGCATTTAGCTTGGAGGATGGCGTAAGTCGTCCGCAACTAGTTAATTAAGGAACACAGAAATCTATATAACAACCGGTTTAGCCAGCTGGGGCAACCTTATATTGTCGAATCTAAAGCAGAAGGCCCGTGACGAATCTTATGTCATTGATACACTATGCCATCAAATGGACAAAGTCCTTAGGCAGGCGTTGATTTGATAAGGGTGGTTAGGATGGTGAAGGCACATGTATGGCCACCAAGGAAGGAGACCGGCCTTGGTGATGGATGATGGGGTGCTGCATGGATTACCCTGGTGGTTCCGCATCATCGACAGGATTCAAACTTGTTTGCTCCTTATGTCAATTTCCCACCACGACAAGAGAGAATTTTTACACGATTTATTGTTCTTTATGTGCTCCTAATCTTTTTCTTCACGAGATCCTCTGAACATGAAGATCACATCTGGAAGTCTATGTCGCTGGCATGTTGTGTCGTGTTTGTTTCACAGACTGATCAAGGGGATGATCAAAGGTAAAACCAGATAAATTAAGACAAGAGACAGTACATATGAGAAGTTTCTATTGGCTGAAAAACAAATCCCATAAAATCCTTGGAGTTATGATTTGAAGCATCAAAGTCGGGACAAATGTGTTTTTGATATTTAGTGAGGAGTTAAGAGATTATTTTTCTGTCAGAAATAGGGTAGTTTTGTTGCCAAAAGGTTAACAGTGGAATCTAACTTACTAGACACCTTTAAAGCACTTCAAATCCTCCATTACAAGAACAATGAAGAAGGCAGACGGCAACACTCTAAATCAAATTTTTTTTCTATTTAAAGAATTTCTTGTTACATCGATAATAGCTAGGGAAACATGCACTGGATTAGAAGAAAAGTGCAATTAGATATTTTGCTTCTATAATCTGTCAATTTCTATCGTTAAACTGCAATATTTTGGTATAATACAATTGGATACAAACATTGTCGAGACCTTTCGGGCAAAGTTTATGTTTTCTACCCTAACTAAAAAGGTTGGCACACCCAGAATTGATCTTAACTGGGAGGATGAAACCGTGTAAACAATCGCAAATAACTTTATCAAGTCGTAGGCCGAACATGATGCAACTCATCTCAGCTACCGAAATCATCAGCAAAAAAAAAAACAGACTATCCTGAACTTCAAAATTTTCAGTCTCTGTTTCGAAGCTGTGTCCTTTGTTATCTGCTTTACCAGGAGAGAATTTTCACAGCGTCTTCAATCCCTTTGTTAGAACAGACAGCATCTTCAGAGGCCAACTCTTTCTCTTCTTTTTCATTTTCTTCTCTGCTGAGGTATCATTAATCATCGAGCATAGACATAGAAGTGAGAGAACTGTCTCTTTCTTCCTTTGTGTTCAATTCTTCGAGCTCCGAGGTGTCCATAGATGCATCAGAACAAAACTTGTTACCTTCTATTGATTTGGATTCAGTAGAACAAAATGCAGCATATAATTCTTTGTAAGCTGATTCTTTTTATGCTTGTTTTGACCCCCACTGATCCGGTTTAGTAGAATATCTGTCGTGACAAAGCAAAGGTGAAGAAACATACGATAAATATAATAGACAAACTGCAAGTAGCAATTGAAATTTGAGTTTGTTTTTTCTATCGAACTTGAGTCCAAACAAGAGTAAGCTTTCACATGCATTGCAATTTTAGTCTGCGACATAACACAAGAATTAATCTCAGATTACCAAACCATCAAACTGCAATTTACTTACCTTTCAATATCTGATTTCCTAACGAGTTGTGGGCCTCGTTTTGTCTTGGAGAGTTCAGTTCTTACAGCTAACAGTGAATGAGCCAGAGAACTGCATCGCTATCTCTCCAAAATTTCCACGTAACCTTGATAGTTAACAGCAAAGAAACAATAAAAAGTGTATATTAGCAGCAATTGAATCATAAATATTTAAGCATGCAACAATATAACAGTCAGATATGGAATCTCAGGAGAGTAGAAGAAACTATTCCATATAGAAATAAGGCGAGACCGAAAGGCTCTACATACAAAACAAAGGTCGTTACATTTGAGCAGACAGGTTCCATTGGTATTAAATTTAACCAATGGACAAAATGAAGCAGGCATGGATAAGAACTTCCTGTGAGAAACAAAAATAAAAATGCCAACATGGCAGCTTGACATACTTAACAACTAATCTACGATTCTGTTTTGCAGAAGCATCGGAAGCAAGAAACGTTTCAGTAACCCGAGCTCCTCAAGCATCTGTAGCTGCCTCAAAGACATGCTCAGCTTCCATCGACGTAATAGTGTAATACTCAATATATGGCTGTATCCAATTCCTGTAACCAAGAAACATTAGATGGAATAACAAAATTAGAAAGCCAACACTTTTGTTTTAGGTAGTCAAGTCCACATCAGAGAGAATTGCCGAGTCCAAAACAACCAATAAACAGATGAACCAAACGTAACTAAGGTATCATATCTCCGCTCTGTGATACCAGTCTACCAGATCACATATCCCAATAGGATATCCTGCACGTTGCATTTGATCAAAGTGAAAACACCATCATGAGGGACATTGGTTTAAAATTGAGAATTTTTGGGGAATAAAATCATTGAATTCAGGAATTCAAACAAAGATCTCTATTAGTCAATCATTTGGCATTTCCCCTTTCAAAAGACTTCCTTTAAAGATGATCAAATATTTACTGCACTAACCTCAATCTTGAAGCTTAAATATTGCAGTACCGTTACTATACGGACATCTTAATCAGAAGCTTGACACTCAATACGCTAGAGACTTGATCATTCGCCTATTCTGATTAACAGCCACCAATGAATGGAAAAAACAAGAATTTTGGTCACCCTCCTGAGCCCATTGAACTCTTACTTTTTGCTTATGAAAGCTCTCCTCAACACTAACAAACGAAACTCAGACCCCACCTCTCTCTCTTTAAGAGCAAATCCCGATTGAAGGGAGAAGAAAGAACCTCTAATCTCTAACTCCTTTTTCCTCCTGACTTGCATAGGAATTTGACCATACTTGCTCAAATTCAACCTCTTCAACAAGGTTTAAGCCTCTTAAGCTTAAGAAAAAAACAAACTCATAGGATTCCTTGCATGTAAAGCCTCATCCCAACTCTCCCCAACAATCCTAAGGAAATCAGCATCCTTGGTCCAAAAGTTCAAAAAACGAAAAGGCTTAGGCAAGGAATTTTGCACCTTGTCGATCTCAACCATCCCTGAGCAATGATCAACAATCCAGGGGCAAGGAAAGCAACTCGAGCAAGCGAAAAGCCAACATTCAAGAAGCATTGACCATCACTCTATCTAGATTCCTATCAAGAAAAGCATCCTCCTGCCGATTAGACCAAGTGAAAGTAGGACCACAAACGTATGATCTAACAACCCAGTGAAACTAGTGCAAGCAGTAAACTCCTCAATATCGTGAGCCAGAACGTTACCAAAAGCCTTAGAACTCTCATTAGAAGAAGCCATAATATTAAAGTCCCCAGCAGGCAACAAGGATCATCCCTAATAATATCTTAGGTAAACTACACATTTAGTACCTTAACTATAAGTTTTGATCCGTTTTAATACTTAAACTTTTAATTATTTTCAAAATTATTCCTAACATTTAGTTTTTATTTCATTTTAGTACCCGTCATCAAAAACTTAATGAATTTACTACCTAAACTATCATTTTTTGTCTGTTTTATTACCCAAACTTTCAAAAAAATTTCAAAACCTAACGTTAAATTTTGAATTGGGTACTAAAATGGTACAAAAACTAAATTTTAGGTATGATTTTTAAAATTTTAAAAGTTTAAATACAAAAATGGACCAAAACTTACCATTTATATACTAAACATGTAATTTACCCTAGTATCTTTAAGCTCCACTATATGATGCCAGTAAGGCTGTGCAAAAATATCCGATCTGAATGATCCGATCGGTTTATCAGGTGATTTGATCCGAAAAATCGGATATCCGATCTAAAAAAAATTTCGGATAATTCGAATCGGATATGGATCGAGAAAATCTTGATTTTGGACTATCCGAATATCCGAAAAAATAATTGGGCCTTTAGCCCTAGGCCCAGCTACCTTTCATGGGAAACTCTCCCAAATCCTGCCTGCAATCCGCATTCAGCATTCCCAATCTGAGCTGAGGCGTGGTGCTCCAGGCTACTAGAGATTAGCTATTTGGCGTATTTTTCTTCTTTCTACTCAAATATATATTGGTTAGAATTTTTAATTGTTTATTTGACATATGCTAATAAATATAACTTTTCTATACATAATCTGTTTGTATAAGTATACATATACAATAATTTTTTATGCATAATTCATTATATATATATATATATATATAATTTCAGAGTTTAATTAAAATAATAAATTGAAAAAAGTTTATGTGTAATATATATATATAT